TGTCTAATAAATCAATTGATTAATATGTCTGCTTTTATGTCAGTACCATACTGTTTTGATTACTGCAAGTTTGTAGTATATACTGAAATCAGAAAGTGTGATGCCTCCAGCTTTGTTCATCTTGCTAAAAATTTTTTGGCTACTGGGGAGTCTTTTGTTGTTCCATGTGAATTTTAAGATTTTAGGATTATTTCTGTAAAATATGCCATTCTGATTTTGATTAATCTACTTTGTATCTGTGGATTGATTTGGGTAGTATGGGCATTTTAACAATTAATTACTCCAAAACATGAATGCAAGGTGTCTTTCCATTTGTTTGTGTTGTTTAAAATTTTTTTCAACAATGTTTTATAGTTTCAGTGTTTCACCTCCTTGGTTAAGCTTACTCCTAAGTATTTATTTTTTATGCTAATGCAAATGGTATTGTCTTCTTGATTTCCTTTTTTGGATAGTTGTTGTGAGAGTATAAGAAATGCAGATGATTTTTGAACATTGATTTTTGTATCCTGCAACTTTACTGATTTCATTTATTAGTTCTGAGAGTTTTTCATGGCATCTAGGGGTTTCTACATATAAGATCATATCATCTGGAGAGATGATTTTACTTTTTTCTTTCTGATTTGGATACCTTTATTTACTTTTCTTGCCTCATTTCTCTGGGTAGGACTTCCAGTGCTATGTTGAATAGAAGTGTCAAGAGTGGGTATCCTTGCCTTGTTCCAGATTTTAGAGGAAAAGCTTTCAGTTTTTCATCATTTTGTATGATATTAACTTTGGGCTTTTCATATATGGCCTTTATTGTGTTGATCTGGGTTCCCTTTATACCCAACTTGTTGAAAGTTTTTATCATGAAAGGATGTTCAATTTGTCAGATGCTTTTTCTGCATCTTCTAGGGTGATCATGTGATTTTTGTCCTTCATCCTATTAATGTAGTGTATCACATTCATCTGCTTTTGTTGAACCATCCTTACATCCCACAGCTAAATCCCATTTGGTTATAGTGTATGATCCTTTTAATGTTCTGTTGAATTTGGCTTGCTAGTATTTTGTTGAGGATCTTTGCATGTATGTTCAGTGATACTGGCTTGTAGTTTTCTTGTGGTGTCTTTGTCTGGCTTTGGTATCAAGGTGATGCTGGCCTCATAAAATGAGTTTGGATATGTTCTCTCTTCTTTTATATTTTGAAAGAGTCTAAGAAGAATTGGTATTAATTATTCTTTAAATGTTTGGAACTTCTTCTGGAACTTATACTGGATCTATATTAAAGTTTTCAATCTATCTTCCATGTCTTCTGTGGCAGTTTCAAAACTTGGTCCCAAGGTTTTTTGATATTCCTCTGTTCAAATCATTACCTATGTCCTCTCCCCTTGAATCTGGTCTCTGACTACTTGACAAAGTCAGAAAGCATGGTGAAAGTGATATTTGCCCCTGCCACCATGTTGCAAAAAAGTCCCAGGCCACGTGAAAGTTTCTGGTTAATTGCCAGCATCAGTCATGTAAGTCATCTCCAGATGACACCAGCCCATAGCCACCATATCACCCCCAGTCTTTAAGCCTCTCTACCTGAAGCCTCAGACATCACAGAGAGACAATCCATCTCCACTGAGCCCCACTGAATCCCTTATCCACAGAGTCCCTGAGCATAACAATTTGCTATTTTATATGGCTATATTACGCTACTTTGGATAATGGCAACATCTTTTACTACTCTTTTAGACTTTTTATTTTTTGTTCTGTTATTCATGAATTATTTAGTCATATACCAATTCATTCTTCAATAGCTCCCAGACTAAATTTTATCATGGTCTAGAATCATGTCCTTATAAAGGTGATTTGGGCTACCAGCCCCACATAATTGAAATAGTACAAAGCTGACTTCACTGAGCCTGTTGTCTGCAAGGTTTAGTTCATAGTCTGTGTCCTCCAACTTCCACATACCTGTAACATGCTATAACATACTACTTCAAAAATCATTTAGCAGTGGTTTTTTCAAACTTTTTCATGAACAAGATATATTCATCCTAGCTCCTGGCTCTAGGCAATGACCCTGGCTTTTATTCTCCATCTTTCACAGAGAACATTTTCTTCCTGATAGCCCGCAAAAGCCGCACAAATGGCAATGGATTTCAGCTTCCCCTCCTGTAGTTTGTAAATACAAGGACTTTATCCCTGTTCACCATTTTATGTTTGTTCCATTTCTGGTTGTGCATTTTTTAATTTTTTCTGTTTTTAATTTTATCTATCATTTCTGTACTTAGCGCAGAGCATGGGGCATAGAAGCATAAGCTTGCTTCGCCAGCTTACCCAGAAAACCTGTGTTATTATTATTTTTTAACATTATGTTTCAGTGTTATATAAACACAAGCAATACTTTAATAATATTATAAGAAAAAGTGTTACATAGATTTAGAAATGAAGTCAAACTTTTGGTTGAAGAGCAGGTATCTGATGAGTCACATACTTTGATGATAATCAACTCTACAGAAAATAGACCCTCATATGGGAGAATTACCCTCATATGGATGAATTCTGCTTCCAAGAATGAGATAAATACATCTGTAAATAGAAAACAACAACAAAATGCATGGATGTGATGGAAAAAGCAATGTTTTTATTTATTTACTTAAAGCCAGACAGACCAATTAAGTAAAACCAGACAACCAAACCCATTTCTTATATATCTGTATGTTTGATTTCAGCATATAAATCTACTTTAAATCACATCTGTATTATGCATAGCTTATAAATATATAAATATGTCTACATAATAAAATTTAAGTTTTCCATAGTTTACCATCTATTTAATAGTTCTGTAAATGTAATGGAAATTTTATATCAAGTTAATGTAATTTTCTTTTAAAGTTAAACATCATTATGAATAAACCTTAAGATTAAATAAATTTATGCTTGTTTAAGATAATCTTAACATACAGAATTACAAAGAAATATTAATTTTGATTGAAATGTGTTCTATATGGTAATTCCAGTCTTAAAAATCTGCTCTTCATCCCAGATAGAAGAGTTTGCTGAACAATAAAATCAAATAATGTTAACATTGGGTTATAACTCAAATAATAAAGTAAATGAGTCCGTATATAAAGAAGTAACTAAGGAAATAAATGGAGATGTGACAAATGTTTCTCACAGAAAATTTTCAATTAATTAATTTAGAAGGGATAAGAGGAATAGAAAATCACTGTTTGAATGCTACAATATTAATTGCCACATGAAGGGTCCAGCAGTGGATACTAGAACTAATGAGCAAAAGTTTAAGCAGAAACATGATATTTGCATAGTTTCAAGGCATCTCTCCCCAAGTATTTAAAAATTGCAAAGGGGAAAATAGTAATTTTAAATTGGAAAAACTTGGCAGATATTATCTTTGCCAAGTGACTGAGGTTGATATCACCTTTACATTACTAACTGGATACTTGAAAATGGTTAACAGGGTAAGTTTTCTATTATGACTTTTACCACAATAAAAAAGATGGATATCTCTAGTTAATATGACATACTGACATCATGTGTCCCTGATACTAATGACTGGGAAGGACACAATATCATTTCTGTGGTATCCTTCCCATTAATGCATAACATCAGTCTAATCATGGGAAAACAAAGACAATCTCAAATTGAGGGACATGTTTGTCACTAAAATTGTCATGATAATCATTTAAAAATATATGTAAGTCAAGTCATTATGATGTACACCTTAAACTTACACAGTGTTAATGCCGACTATATCTTAGTAAAACTGAAAAAAAATTGAGGGACATTTTCCAAATAACTGACTAGTATTTTTCAAAAATCTCAAGGTCATGAAAGATACAGAAAAGCTCAGCAACCATCACAGGTGACAGGAACTAAGGAGACATAACCAACTGCACTGTGGGACCCCAGACTGGGTCCTTGAAAAGAAAAAAGCACGGTAAGGAAAAAAATGGTAAAACATGAATGAAGTCTGTAGTTTGGTTAATAGAACTGTACCAAGGTTAATGTCTTAATTTTAGTAATTGCTATAATTATATTAGATGTAAACATTAGGGGAAGCTAGGTGAAAGGTATACAGGAAATCCGAATTGTTCTTGCAGTTTTATAAATCCAAAATTACCTCATAATAAAAATTCTTTTAAAAGTTACAAATTCTCTGTAACTTACAACTTCCAGTAGAAATATATATCTATACACATTTCAAAGTTAATAGGTAATTGAAGCAATTTGCCCAAACTAGTTACATATTTTTAATGAAATATTTATCATGGCCTATTTATACAAGAGCACTTCAAGACAATTGGATTATGCCTTTGAATAAATACAAATAGTTCTAATGTCACTTGACATTTGGGGGAGAGTAACTGTCCTAATTATTTTCATTCTTTACCTTTCATTCTTTAATTTGCTTATGGAAACCTGGACTTAATCTCAGCTGGTATATGGAGCTCTCTCCAGATATAAATGGCTCACATTATATTCAGCAAATTGATGCAGAGATGTTTCTAGTTTTTAATCATCAGGTACAATTGGAATTTTGTTGAGAACTTGAAGTCTGAATAAAGATGAGATTGGATCGTCATTTAATCCAGTAGTGCTCAATGGGAAGTCAGTAGCAAAATTTTCACTTGTCTGAGGCAAAAATGATAAAAACATAATGGCAAAATACATTTTTACAAAACTGTATTTTTTAATTTAAAGGATAGGTTCCTTGATGGGATTATTGTCTTCCCATTTTTTGAATTTTGATTATCATTAATGTATAATTACTTGAACATTATGGTTACTAGACTCCCCCCCTTATCAAGTCCCCCCTACATACCCCATTACAGTCACTGTCCGTCAGCATAGTAAAATGCTATAGAATCACTACTTGTCTTCTCTGTGTAAACTGCGTTTCCCATGCCCCCCCCCACATTATGTGTGCTAATCGTAATGCCCCATTTTTCCCCTTGTCTCTCCCATCCTACCCACCCTCCCCAGCCCCTTCTCCTTTGGTAACTGTTAGTCCATTCTTGGGTTCTGTGAGTCTGCTGCTGTTTTGTTCCTTCAGTTGTCTTACCATTTTTATATTAAAATATCGTTTCATGAAAACATGATATGAAATGATAGATTTTTGTTTCATTTTAATTTAATGTCCATACACGGAAAAATAAAGTTTTTAGTAGTACACCTCCTGTCCATTTTGTGTATGTGTGTGAACTTCACTGCTGTTTGGAATTCAGTGTCTCAAAATCACTTATCTATACCACTTTCTTTCCTCATCACTGATGTCACCCAGGCTCCATTATGTTCACATCATTAACTGCCATCAAATACAGTAAATCAGTGACAAATACTACTCAAATGCAGTTAATCCAGTTGCTTTTAGTTAATAATATTTTAACTAATTAGAACCCACAAAAGTTATTTCTATGTCCTTTCTCATTTCAAGTCTCTGATTTCAGCATACCATAAGCAATCCTAACCTAAATACATGGAATATTATTCTATGTTTTGTGCAAGAAAGACCTTTACTCCAAATGACCAGGATTATAACTCAGTTTATGGAGAATATTTCATATTAATGAGAAAGATAATTCATTGATGTTCTGCATTTGCTTCATCTATTCTCAAAGTACTAAGGAAAATATTGAAGGCAGCCATAGGTTATACTAATTCTGCTCGAAGCATCTACAAAGTTTTAAAAATAACTTAACACTCATTTTTAGTATATCTTGGCAACCAGCTAGACAGGTAGGTGGTACCATTAGGTATCAATTGTAATTCCAAGTATAGGACTTATATCAATAAATATGATCTGGTATATTTGAGAAACGTTTTAAGAGGTACTATCTGCCTTTGGAATTCCAGGTATACATATTGCGCCCTTCTGTGCAGGACATAGGTCTGAATTCACACACATTTGTATAAAATAAGGCAAGTAATTAAAACTTCGTTAATGCAAACTTTTTAACTTTTAAGGCACAGTTAGTATTGATAGCATTCTCAAAATATGTTAGTGTTTTATTTAGTTTCTTTAATTTTAGAGTGAGAGAATTTAAAGTAGCTTATGACTGTAATAGAGTATGTGGTGGGGACTTGATAATGGGGGAAATCTAGTAATCACAATGTTGTTCATGTAATTGTATATTAATGATACCAAAATAAATAAATAAATAAAACAGCTTATGAAGGCAGAAGAGTGATGATCAAAAAGAAGCCAAACTTGTTCCCCTACTCCATTGTATTTTGTGAATAATTTGTTAGGAAATACTTCTTCTCAGTTTCCATGTCATTACTTCAGAATGCTCAGAGGACAAAATGGCTTAAAATCAAGTCTGGTAGTACCTGAAGATGTATCTTTTTTTTTTAAGGCCATTGAATTGGTAGTGATGAGCTTTTTCCTTTAATGTCTTTTTATTTTATAGTTAATCAATAGCACTTGTTAACTACAACAAGCCTCACTTATTTTTTCTTTGTCCACCTTTCATTGTACACATTCAAATAACTGCTCTCTGATATGGAATAGGATACACATTATGTGTATAAAGAGAGATTTGAGACCACTCAAAATGCCTCAAACAACCATTACGAAACCTACATCTAACAACTGGAGTACATTCCTGAAATGAATCTCTTTAGCCTTATATGTGTCCTAATTGGTACTTGCATATAAGTCAAATCCTTTTTTTTCTTTACCCTTCATCTTAACTGATTATCTATGAAGACCACCATTCACCAGGCATTTGCATGATTATGAATGATGGCATCTAAGATGTTGACTCAGAGATGGCCTCTACTCATGAAGGGACAAAAACCTAGAAACTTCTGAATAATAATAAACTATGTTCTTCCTCTCAAACCCAGTCGATACCTGATACATCAAAATTGGAAGCTAGTTCTCTTCCCTATGCATGCATAATATGTTCTCCTGGAAAATATCATTTAAAGTCAAAATAACAGGATATCTCTATGGAACTAATAAGCACTTCCAGGGACAGGACCAATGAACTTCCTGGGGAGACATGAATAATATCTACATGTAGCTCGAGAACATGAGCTACATATAGTCATCAGGTACTCTGGCACGGCTCTCTGACCCCCAGGACCTATTCCTATCAGAATCTGGTGGTAAACTGGAGCCAGCCTCTGTTTTTACCTCTCCAGTGCCATGGGGAAAGGGGAAGTTGGGCATAAAGCGCTTAAGGAACCGGAACTCACTACTGCTGGTGCCAGTGACTGAGCACAGTTCATAGGGACAAGGCTGGGATAAAGGTCCATTAGCTCCTCCTTGTACCAGGTCGTTAGGGAAATTACAGTCATCATAGAAATGCTCTTGAACTGTGAACTTTTCTCTATATTTGATCTTCTGGCAGATGTGTATAATGAAGATCACCATGACAGAGAGGAGAAAGAGAAAGGAAAGCACAGCCAGAGAAATGACCAAATATTTAGTGGAAGGATTTACCCCTGTGGGATGCTTGGCTGGATCCCGGAACTGCAGGTAGGGCTCAGAAAAGCCATCTACCAGCAGGACGTTAAGGGAGGCAGTAGTGGAGAGAGCTGGTTGTCCATGATCCTGGACAAGAATGGTCAGTCTCTGTATCATGGGGTCTCTCTCAGATATCTGCCGTGAGGTATGAATTTCCCCATTTTGTTGTTGAACAGAGAATAACCCAGGGTCAGTGGCCTTAAGCAGATGATATGAAAGCCAAGAATTCTGACCTGAGTCACCATCCACAGCCACCACCTTGGTCACCAGATAGCCGGCCTCTGCAGACCTGGGCACCAGGTCATTGCAGGGCAGTGTGCCATTCTGCAGTGGGTACAAGATCATTGGGCGGTTGTCATTGTCATCCAGGACGACTACTCTGACAGTAACCTGGCTACTCAATGACAGGAAGCCCCCATCTGTTGCCTTTACCATAAACTGAAAATTTTGAATGGCTTCATAATCCATGGTTCTCAGTGCATAGAGCTTCCCATTGTCTGAATTTATGGAGATATAAGCAAAGACTGATAGGTCTCCACTTTCTGGAGGCAGCAGAGAATACGTTACTTGGGCATTCTCACCCAGATCTAAATCCTCAGCATGGACTTTGCCAATAAAAACTGCAGGGCTGTTGTTTTCACGAACAGTCAAGATGTAGGAGTCTTTTTGAAATACTGGGGGGTTGTCGTTAATGTCAGCTATTAGTACCTCTATCAAAGTCTCCGTGGACAGATTGGGTGGTCCGGTATCCATGGCAACAAGGGTGATATTGTAGCCTGAGACTTCCTCGCGATCCAAGCCTCTATCAGTGACCAGCGAGTACGAATTCCGGAAGGTAGGTTTGACTGCAAAGGGAAGGTCTTCTTTGAGGAAGCAGGTGATTTTTCCTCCCACTCGAATGTCCCGGTCTCGGATAGAGAACAGGGCCACTACAGTCTGCCGTGGGGAGTCCTCAGGGAGAGGGCTGGACACAGAGGAGACCGTCACTTCAGGAGGATTGTCATTCACATCCATCACTTCCACCAGGACTTTGCTGTGGGCCGAGAGGCCTCCTCCGTCAGTGGCTTGAATGTCAATATCATATGTTTCAATCGTTTCAAAGTCTAGGGGCCCTCGTAGCCGAACCTCTCCAGTTTGAGAGTCAATCTGAAACGTCTGGAGAATTGTTTCTGGGTTTTGAGCTAAAGAGTAAGTTATATCCTTGTTAGAGCCCTCGTCCAGGTCCGTGGCAGTCACCGTGGCCACTAAAGAACTATTGGCGCTATCTTCGGGTACCTGAGCGCGGTACACCAGCCGGGAGAACTGGGGCACGTGGTCGTTGACATCCAGAACCTCCACGCGGATGTGGGCGGTGCCAGACTTGGGCGGGGACCCGCCATCCACCGCTGTAATTGTCAAGTTGACTTCGGGCTGCTCCTCTCTGTCCAGGGGTTTATCCAGCACGAGCTCTGCATATTTGGGCCCGTGGCTGCGGAAGCGGGTGTGCAAGTGGAAATACGCGTTGGCGCTCAAGCTGTAGTTTTGGAGGCCGTTGAGGCCCACGTCCAGATCCTGGGCGCTCTGCAGAGGAAAACGTGAACCCAGGGGAGTGCTCTCCGGAATCTTTAAAAGTGGCTCCTTGTTTAGGAAAACCGGGGCATTGTCATTGATATCAAATACCCTGACCTCCGCACGAAAGGACTGCAGCGGCTCCACCAGCACTATTTCAAAGTGCAGAACGCACGGGTCGGCTTTGCCACAAAGTGACTCCCGATCCAGTTTCTCCTTCACGAACAGATCCCCGGTCTTGCGGTGGAGCCGGAAATGCAGTTTGTTGCCCTCGGAAACGAGCCGCGCCCCGCGCGCTGCCAGCTTCCCTACCTCCAGCCCCAGGTCCTTAGCCACATTAGCCACAAACGAACCGCTCTCCATCTCCTCGGCCACGGAATAGCGGATGGTTGCCGCACCCCCCACAGATACGCACAGAAACAGAAGGAGAGCCCTCACCTGCCTGCTTTGCAAGAGTTTTCTGCGCGCAACCGCCATCCGTTCTCACAAGCGCGCTCCTGCAGCAGCCGCCCACCTGTTGAGGATATACTTTCACTTTCCGCCCAGGGCTGCTGTCGGCTTTGGAGCCTCTCACCGCAGCGCCGCCAATGGCTAGCGGAGCGCGGTAAGCTGTTTTGCACTTGGAAGAAAATTTGCATTAAGCAACTCAACTCCCCAGTCTGTCGAATGTATTAATAGATATGTTCTCATTCTGGAGAGTTAGGTAGAGGTTGAAAGTTGTTGCCAAAGCAACCGCGGACTCGCCTTTTAATTCCCTTTCAGATAAGAGTCCTTGGGAATTGAGAAGCCAATGAGGATACTAGCTCAAGCTGAAGTCACCGTATCTGCGTATCTGGGAGCGGGCTGGGGCCGCTGCAGCTACCGGCAAACAGCTAGGAGTAAGCAAGCTACACCGCACACTCCACGCAGTCCGCGCGGAGATCAAGACAGAGGCAAATACAAGATCCTGCTGTCTTCTAGTCTCTAGAGCCAAACGGATAGGGCTGAGGGTGGAGGGCTTGGAGGAAGTGCTCAGCAGGAAAAGGAAAGGGCAGAAGTCTTCTTTCAGGGAACCTGAGGTCCAGTATGTCCACTGACAGGAGAACCGCCAACTAGCCTCTTGATTTGCACAAATCCATACTTTCCCCCAGAACTCTCAAGCGCTTAGGAAGAGCTGGCTTGTCATGTATGATTAAGATTATGGGGAAGTAATATTTATTGGGTATGATTTCTATATATTGGTACTGCGTTAAGTGATTTACATGCCTTATCTAATTTAATCCTTGCAAAAAATTATATGAGGTTCACATTATTATTATTTCTCTTTCGCAGACGAAGACACTGAGACTGGAGAGGTTATGTCACTCCCCCAAGGTCCTCCACCTAGTAAGCATTAGAGAAAGAACTCAATTTAGTTTGCCTGACTCTAAAGTCTATGCTCTTAACCAGTATATTACTCTGCTTCCAGATAAGAATTATTTAAATGAAGATAAATGTTTGGCTTTGGATTTTAAAGGAAATGAGGTAATAATGTACTCATATATTTAAGAAATGGCCTAATAGAAATTTGGGGGGTGTTTATTGAGAATTTCTTTTACAATCATGGGATCATAAGAATGGTTTAAGAACGACAAGATGCCTCAAGAAGATGAGAGCCAATCTCCCCCTTCCTTTTTTATAGATGAATAAACTAAAGTCCAAATGATGAAATCACTTGCTGAGTTCACACAGTTACTCACGGGAGTATAAGAACTAGAAGCTGTCTTCTAATGTTCTGTCTCATGCTCATTATCAAAAGCACTTGGTGATTTCCTATTTGAGCTCAGAGAAGACTAAACCATATTTTCCAAGTGAGGAAAAAAAGTGAATGAAAATAGTGTCTATAGTGTTAATGACATCCTGACATGAAGGAGTTCATGGATCCCTCAATTTCTATTAGATATCTTCAATCTGACTTTAGTATACATCTCTAAATAGTTTAATTTTGCCTCTTTAAAAATTTGTATATAAAGTAAGGTGTATAGAAGATAATATTTTTATTAAAGTATCACTGATATATGATCTTATACAAGTTTCAACTGTATAACACAGTGGTTCAACAGTTACACATACCACTAAATCCTCACCCCCTCTAGTGTGGTTACTACCTATCAATGTAGAAAGATGTTACAGAATCATTGTTTATATTCTCCATGCTGTACTACTGTCCCCGTGCCCAATTTATATTGTGATTGTGAATTATTGTGCCCCTTTACCCCTTCCCCTCCTTCCCAAACTGTCCCAACCCCTCCCCCTTGGTAATCACTAGTCATTTCTCAGTGTCTATGAGTCTACTGCTGTTTTCTTCAGAAGATAATTTTTTATGGCAAAAACACACATATGATTTTCAGTAGGTAATCCTTTGAATCTAGTTCCTTTCTTTAATTTTTAGTTCAGTGTGAGATTGATGTTGCTGTGTTTTGCTCTAGTTCATTCATTTCCAGTGTGTAGAATTCCAGTGTATTGTCAATGCTTTTGGGACACAGACCATCAGGGACATATGTGTAGTTGAACAAAGTTGTATTTTCTGATTTACTGCAACAAGGGACTGAACACCACAGAGATTCCCAGGGCACCACAGTGAGAGGGTGTTAGAAGGGACTAATGAACCTGAAAGTCTTTGAGGAAACATAGGCAAAAATCTCTTCAACATAAGCATCAGCCACTTTTTTTCTGGCTACATCTTCCAGGCAAGGGAGGCAAAATTAAAAAATGAACAAGTGAGACTACTTCAAGCTAAAAAGCTTCCATACAGCAAAGGAGACCATCAACAAAACAAAAAGGCAGCCTACAGTGTGGGAGAACGTATTCATACATGATATATCCAATAAGGGGTTAACATCCAAAATATATAAAGAATTCATATGCCTCACCACCAGAAGTAACCTGATTAAAAGATGAGCAGAGGACCTGAACAGACATTTTTCCAAAAAAGAAATACAAAAGGCCAACAGGCACATGAAAAGATGCTCCACATCGCTAATCATCAGGGAAATGCAAATCAAAACTACAAAATATCACCTCACACCAGCTGGAATAGCCACTATCCAAAAGACGAGAAATAAGAAGTGCTAATAAGGATATAGAGAAAAGGGAACGTTCCTACACTGTTGGTGGGAATGTCAATTGGTGTAGTCATTATGCAGAGCAGTGCAGAGGTTCCTCAAAAAATTGAAAGTAGAAATACCATGAGACTTACTACTTCCAGGAATTTACCCAAAGAAAATAAAATCTGATTCAAAAGGATATATTCACCCCTATGTTTATTGCTGCTTTATTTATAATAGCCAAGATATGGAAGCAACCTAAGTGTCCATCAATAGATGAATGGGTAAAGACAGTCTGGTACATATATACAATGGAATATTATTCAGTCATAAAAAAGAAAGAAATCCTGCCATTTATGACAATATGAATGGACCTAGAAGGTATTATGCTCAGTGAAATAAGACAGGTGCAGAAAGACAAGTACTGTATGGCTTCATTTATTTATGGAATCTAAAAACCAAACAAAATGAAATGAAAAAAAATAGCAATAGATTCACAGACACTGAGAAGTGCCTGGGTTACCATGGAGTAGGTGTTGGGGTAGGTGGGTGGGAAAAGTAAGGGGAATAAAATTTTTAAAAATCTCAGTCATAATATAAATTAATCACGGGAATAGTAGTACAGCATGGAAAATATAGGCAATGGTTCTGTAATATCTGTCTACATTGACAGATAGCAACTGTAGTAGCTGGGTGAAGATTTAATAACATGTGTAACTGTTGAACCACTGTGTTGTATACTTGGAACCAATACAACATTGTATATCATCTATACTTCAATAAAAAATACACTTAAAAAAAAGAAAGGACTCACAGTATTTAGTTTTGTGTGAGGTGATTTGGGCGGTGATTTGAAGCAGGACTTTGCACTGGCTTGCATGCTGTCAGAAATGTAGTTAATTCTATGACTGGGCATATTAATAATTCTCATGTAGAAGGTGAAAAGAATGGGAGGAGGCTAAAGCTATAGCTGGTAAACAAGCTGTAACTGGTAATTGATATTAGTCAGGATAAAGAGATATCTGGTCATTTTTGTGGGTTGGACAATAGTCCTTTTTGTCTGTGTTCAGACTGATTATGGCATGCTCTTATTTTTCTTGTTTTTCTCTTGATCACAGTCACAGAGTGACCTTGTATAACTTTGGTGTTCTATGACATTGGTTTTGTTTAACTGGAGAACACCATGGCCTAGGTCTGAGTATCAGGCCAGTTCTTAAGCTGTCAGGCACTGCTTTTGACTTTTTCAGTTTGAATATAGCAAAACTCACTTACTCATTCTATTATTTTATTGTTCCTAGAAGTATGTCATGGCATATGTCACTTTGAGCAAATGTTATACATTTGGGGAAAGGATCATATACCTAGCAGTGACATTGATGTCATAGGATATGTTCTTTTCAGACAAACTGCTTTCTAAGAGGTTGTACCAATTTACATTCTCATGAGCAGTGCAACTTCCAGCTGTTTAAATTCTTACCAACACCTAATATTACTCATCTTTAAAAATTTTAGCCATTCTTGCCCTTTGTGAGTTTAATCTGTATTTCTCTGATTATTAATTATTGATGGCATAGGACACTATTTCATATATTTTTAGCTATCTGGATACATTTTGGGTGGGAAGAGGGTTGTTCAGTTCTCTTACCCATTTTTACATTGGATTATTTGGTTTTTGTCCTATTGATTTGCAATAGTTCTTCATGTATTCTGAATATGACTTCTGAGTATCTTTTTAAAAGCAAGAGACATGTTTACTCTTAGCCCATATGTCTACTGAGTTTTTGTTTAAAAAGGAGATGTTTCTCCCAGTGACTCACACATAAGCAGAATCTTATGACATCCTAGAAGGTCTTTTTAAAATTTGAGATGAAATTTACACATAATATTACATTAATTTCAGGTTTACAACATAGTCAATATTTATATATATTGTGAAATGATCACCAGTAAGTCTAGTTAACATCAATCATCACACATAGCTACAATTCTTTTCCTATGATGAGAACTTTTAATATCTGCTCTCTAAGCAATTTTCAAATATACAATTCAGTATTATTAACTATAGTCACCACCAAAAGTCTTAATGTAATAAGTTTCCAAATAATTCATCCCAAGCCCATAAATTTAAAAAATACATTTTTATGAGTTGAAATACAAGAAATGTTGCTCTTAAAATGGATTTTTCTGAATCTTAGTCTGTTTGGTCTCCCAGGGTATGTATTATTATCTGCTTGATGGGATTAAATTCAAAAATATTTTCTTTTTCCTCTAAAAACCTTAAGACTTTTGAGATTCAAGATGGTGGCATGAGAGGTGAGACAGAGAACTCCTCCCAAAACTACACACAATATGAAAATATAGTTAATACAACTAATCCTAAAAGAGCAACAGGAAAGAAGGCTGTACCAGACTGCACACACCTGGAGAACAGAGCAGACCTCACTAAACAGAGTCAATGTACCAAAGCCTTAATCTAGCAGGACCCAAGCCCTTCCCCCACCCATGCACACTGGCAGGAGGAAGAGAAATGGAG